CTCCACCACCGACATCCCTTCGGCTTGGCCCACAATGCCCGTTTTTGTTTTATTACGCGAGCATTTTCTTTCATTAATAGCCACGAGGCATTAAATTTTTAAATCATCAACTGGCGAGAGGAAAGCCAGAAAAAGCTGGCGAGAAGGAAGAAAAAGCGCGGCACAGGTCTGGGCTGGGGGTGTTCAGGGGAGCGAGGCAATGGCAATGGCGATTGAATGGCATGGGAATGGGCGTGGAAGAAGCAAAGAAATCCCTCGCTAATGATGTCTTGGTACAGTCGTGTTTAATTATACACAAAGTTGGGCATTGGCACTGCCTTTGGCATTGTGTGTAGCGAAAGCGAAGACCGCAGCAGAAGCCTTTCTTCCTTCCTTACACATTTAGGTCAACGAATAGAGTAACGTGTCTACGGTTAGCCTCCAAAAAAATAAATAACAAAGTATACATATATTTTTATATATTATATATTTAAATAAATATATTATATATGGGTAATTCTCCGGTGTCGAATGCGACGACATTCGTACGCATTCAAGGAAAGAACCTGTGCCAAGTCTTTATTTTAATTTTACAAAATAGGAAACTTAAAACTATAATTGGTGCTAAGATCGATTTAGGGCCCTTGTTCCTTTTCAAGATATTCACTGAAATGTATTGCATTAGCACGCGACAGTCACATTTGCAAAAAAAATGATGCAATAAATTTTATTTAATTGTGCAATCAATTTTCTCAATAATGTATTTTGTTTGACTTTAAAATGTTAAGTACTTATGTACACATGTCACTCGCGAAACCAATAATATAAACCGATAATATAAAATAAAACTGTTCGAATATTGGTAATCGTAATGTCCTTTTGCATTTTATATTGACTCTTTGCATTCTCTGTGGGATATTAGAAAGCAAAAGTCAAAGCAAAATGCTATTGTTTAAGAGATTGGCATGAAAACAAAAATGCCTTTTTATGACTTTTTTTGGGTTTAAGCGTGTTTGACATCAATTATTTCGCAATTTATTTTAGGAAATAAAAAATCTTTTAATCTTGATCAATCTGACCATATTAAAAACATTCGTTTTTAAGAACTTTTAATTTGTTGGCCGCTGTGGACCTTTCTGGAGAATTGCCCATATTCTTATGTATTATATATTTTTATATTCGAATCTGTAGAAAGTTCTAATGGCATATCCAAACTCTTTGCTAACTATTAAAAACTAAACTGAAATCGCTTAGGCCCAATGTATACTCTTCTCCAATCGCGTATCAACGTCGAACCTGCTTCAATGTAGTTTGTAATGGTTACGGAAAGCATAATATGTATCTGCTGGCAATAAGCAAATCAGACTTGGATCACTCTGCGTGCCTCGTGCATATTAGGGATCATCATATGCAAATTAGATGAGATCTTAAAAGCAAACTGGAAAATACCAACCCCCTAGGAGCTGGAACCGGACCGCTTTCAAAAGGAACTCCTTAGCCGTTGGCAGCTGTGCGTGCGAGTGCGTCTGGACCGGGGTCCCAATGCCAGTCCGTTACCGGACACTTCTCTGACCAAGAAGGGGTTCGCAACGCATCGCATCATCACGGAAAACTGGTTTCTCACGCTAGGCAAAGGGCAGCAGTCCGCAGTCCGCCGTCCGCAATCCGGTCTAGGACACAGACACTTGTGGAGAACAAAACCCGTACGCAAGGGTTGGGTTTAGGACAAGGACGAGCCCGTGGCCGTGGAGGGGTTGGGTCAGTTCTATTAGAATTTGCATATATGTCCGATGACTCCGACCTTCGGCCTCCCGGAACAGGGACCGATAATGTAAACTGGTCAAACTGGTTTCACTCATTGCGTTCTGTCGCGATTTAAAAAATATACACATATTCGCCTGTCGTGTGCTCTCCTGCTCTTTAGCTTCTGGGCGCAACTCACCACACATCCTTCGCTCTCACATGTGGCATATATGCTGCGAAGACCGTGCTTTTCCGTATGAGTTTGACAAACCTTCATTTCGGATTTGGCTACGAGCCATCGCAGTTGGAGTTTTAAACAAGTAGAGAAGACGGAGACGAAGTCGCAGCGCACTTTTACTATCAGTTTTCTAAAATTCTTCTTGAACAAGGATAATCAATTCCAGTGAAGACACAAGTGCACTTGGCGAGAGCAACAGTGAAATTGCACTGACTTGCAGTTATTTAAATTACGCGCCTACTCTGATATCGTTCTATTTTGCAATAGGCGCGAAAGTCCGCCTCAACAATTTAAGGATTTTAATTCAAAGACAAAGGAAATATAAACGAAACTGGAAAGTAAACTGTGCAGTTGTGTTCCATAAACATAGATATATTGAGTGCACAAGTAATGTTACCCCGAACAAATTCTTGAGGAGCTTTTGTTTTAAATTTACCATTATGCCAGCCCTAATTAACGTTAGTAACATAATTCATTGGGATGAATGCAATGATACGAAAATGTACATTCCATTTGAAGTATTGTCTAATTAATAAATATACAAACTCAATATAAATATGCATATATCTGACCCCTATTATGCAAACTAGTCTCTCGAATGCGTAAAAATTGTACAAATTTGAGGTATGTAGTAAATCAGTCAGATCGGATAGCTAACATTCAAACAATCGAAATATTAATAATAAAATAATATGAAAATTGGAAAACTCATTTATGTTTCAACATATTTGAGTTAAAATAACGTTTTAATGTATTTTTTTCTTTAACCAAAATGGATTGGTTTAGAATGTACATCATGCAAACTGAAAAGGATCCAGAAAAAAAAAATGGAAGCTATCTTCGGCACGCCTAAGTTTGTATCCCCTTGCAGATTGCATATTCAATCTTTAATAATTAATACAATATACATTACTTATATTTGAGTTAAAAAACAACGAGACAATTCCTACATTAATTATCGTCACCTATACATATTATATTTACAGTTCAGTTTACGATTTTCATAAAATTAAAACCAAACCATAAAATGACATGTGATGGACATGTGAAATACTGCTAAAGTTTAATTTTCAATTAGATTAATTTCTCGATCGTTCCTATGGCAGCTATATATATGATATAGTAGTCCGATTTTCATAAAATATAAAACGATTTTTCTAGTCTCTCAGTTTTTAAGACAATTAGTCTTCTGTATTCTCTCACTAGTAAGTCAGAAATTGCCGTGTCGGAAAACTACATATATAATATAAATGCTAAAGAAAAGGTCCGACAATTTTAGAAAAAAATAAAAATAAAATAAAATAATATTATAATAATAATAATAATAATAAATATTAAAATATTTCCATCTAATTGGAGATATAGTCATTTAGTATTATTCTACAATTTCGCTTGTAATTTAATAAAAATCTGAAATCTAGAAACTATCGTTAAATGCAATTCTGGGACTGCAATACTGTAGATATAGTGTGTATAGAAAGAAGGAATTACTTCGTTGATTTTAACAGAAATATACATATATCATTTATTTTTGCAAATGCATATACACTTTGGACTGACAAAGTTAGTTTCCTTTTTTGTTTAATTTACAAAATGACCATATTAAGATTAATAACACAAAAATATACATGTATATATAGTTTAAATTAAAAAAAATATTTTTTTTTGCGAATTCAACACTTTAACCCCTTTTTTCTCTACACCATTTTGTGTTTACTTCCTCGAACTAAGTAGGAGTGTCCGATTTGTCGATTGTCTCCTGTTTTTTCCATTTTTTTTGTTTGTTCTTTTTTTTGTAGTAAAACTGTGGCAAAATGAGGGTGGATTTGTTCCGAATCGTGGATGGTTTCTCGAACAACTCTCTCGTTCGGCCAACCATTTTGTTTTCGTGTTGCTTTCAACTTCCCGAAAGATACACTCACCCCCATAGAACGCTGAACGAAAAAATGTGTAGAAATATGTACATGCCTCCTTTTTAAATCTTTTAAGGCCCCAAATCGAACTTGTAAATTTTGTAACTATTAAATAAAGTTATTCCACTCAGGTATATAAATTATATATTCTTAACACAGGCAAAAATAAGCTTTAATACTCACCAGTACCGTGATGGAAAGTTGTCACTTCATATTTCTCAGTTACGAACAAGTCTCTCCAACTGAACGCCTTAAAGATTATCATCTTGATGAGCAGAAGCTAAGAGAAATATTAGTTTTAAGTAGTATGTTAAGACATAAACAAAAATACAATAAAATTATTCTAAGAAATCAAAACAATCTGTGTATTTTTCCATTTAATGCCGCCCCGAAGCTCATTTTTTGTTTGTTAAGTCAAAAAGGAATAAAATGTTTTAAAGTATTTAAACGTTTTTAATGTTTGTGGTTTTATTATCATATTTTTAATGGAAGAATTTACAGTTCTTTCTTAACATTTCAATTACAAATAGGTTTACGAATTGTTTTACATACATATATTTATTTGCTCAATTTTTGCATTTTGAACACAGAGAACAGCAAATATAAATTACGCATTTCGTAACGAATATAAAGAAACATATCTGCTAGAAAAAAACTGAAAGAAGGTTTCGATGTAATTTTTGTACATATGTATGTATTATGAAGCAATCACGGCATTTTCATCTTGTTTGAATATATATTCGGGAGCTGCCCTTATTCTTATTTCACTTTGCTTCTATAATCCGAAAAAAATATTTTGTTTTTGCTAGATACAAAATACACATTACATTTTGAAAATATGTATAGTGTAAAACGCTTAAATAGGAAGAGGGGAGATGCATTTAACATGTGGAGACTAGTATTTTGAATCGATCTACAAGGGGAACAATTTTTGCAGTTTCGCTCAGCAGGCACTTCCTCTGTTCGATCAACATTAGCTCTGCATTCCTGTTGAATTGCTTGGTTCGATTACATAGGCTGTATTATATTAACAGAAGCGAGCGAGCAGTGGAAAAGGAGAAATAGAAAGGCGCTTCTCTAATACAAGTCACTCTATCTACATGGCAAGGACAACACAGCTGGCAGCGTTCTCTGCTCTATTAACTTTATTTAGTAGCAAAAAATGCTGGATTTGGTGATAAATTTGGAGGCATTGTTAGCATATTTCCTTGCTGCTGCTGTATCTGCTGCTGCTGTTGCTGCTGCTGTTGGCTCCTTGTATTGGTGGCATAAAGCTGCTGCTGGAAGCTGTGATATTGCTGCGCGTACTTCAGATCGTTTGAAGATGGTCCCACGAAATTAACATTGGAAACTACTCCACCGTTAGACGGTACGTTTATGTTATTATTATTGGATCCAGGTCCCGGTCCCGGTCCCAGCCCTTGTCCCTGTAGCTGATGCATCTGCCCAACTCCTCCCGCCTGGCTCTGGCACATTCCCGCTGGCATTATGGTCTTTAGAAGCTGAGACTTAGACTGCTGCTGCTGCTGCTGCTGCTGCTGAGACTGTTGCTGCTGCTGCTGTTGCTGCTGTTGCGAGGCTGTCAATAAGGCAGCTGTTGGCCCGTTGGCACTGTTAAAGAAGGCTGTGGGATCCCCTGCACTACTGCAATCCAGATCAGCTCCGTGCCCTGTAAACGGTAGCTGCCTGTTAACAACAGGCTGCTGTAGTCGTGGACCCATAACATGGGGACGCAACATGTTGCTGTTATGGGGACGCATGCCCCGTATCATGGAAGGCTGATGGCCAATGATCATGCCAGGATCAAGTCCTCCACCTCCGCCATCCTCCTCGATAATAGCAAGCTGTTGATTGCAGTTTTGAAAATAGTTGTTGCCAGGATTGTTGGCCATCTTCTGCTGCTGTTCGGTGGGTGAAGCCATAAGCATGGAACCGGCCCCAGGAGGACCCACCATCATCCCTGGCATACCTGGCATAATTCCCGGCCCACCATCAATCGAAGCACCGTTGCCAGCAGCTCCTCCTCCAGCCATTTGTGGGTTGGCATATCTATGAAGAAACTCCAGGCTAGGCGGCATTCGTACATTGCCAGCTCCTCCTCCAGTTCCTACTCCTCCTCCTCCATTATTGTTATTAGTGTTATTATTATTAACATTTTGCGGTCTCACTGGCATATACTGTATGGTGTTCGGTGTGCTGGCCTTTACCTGAATATTTGGATTAAAATTTGAACCGAAATTCAGAGGCATTCGGCCCATTAAACGGGCACCGGGTGGAGCACCACCTTGGCCTTGAAAGTTAGCTGGTGAGGGTCCGGGGCCAGGCACAGGCATCGGACCAGAACCAAGGCCATTGGGTGAATTTGGATTAAAATTTGGACCGGGGCCACACATTTTAGCATTTATCAGGCGCTGCTGACCCATCGAATTCATCATTGCCGGATTAATGGGATGACAGCTATTGGTCTGATTAAGTGCATCCAAGCTAGAGGCAGTATCCAGGCCTGCTAGCAACGCATGCTCCATGTTCATATCCGGGATGTTCATATTCATACCAGCGGAAGAAGCACCGCCACTGGGACTGCCTCCCATGCTGCTCACACAGCTCGTTAGCTGTTGAGACATCTGAGCCAGCGAAGAGATGGGATCAAAGCTCTGGGACAACATTTTGTTTTGCGGCGACGGACGAAGAGTGCCGCCACTATTGGGATTTAGGGGTATGTTGTCTGAACGGCGAGCGAACTGAACAGATCCTCCAGAAATTTGACGCTGAAATGGAGTTATTGAAGCCAATTAAAGATAAGTTCTGAACGAGTACAACCGGTTCTAACACCTCCGACTGCGTCCCAAGGACTATTCTCCGGAAAAAGCAGGTAAAATCACTATTACTTACCTCTAATTGTATATTCGGTGTGTTTACTTTGTAGGCAGCATTTAATGCTGAATTGGCATTGCTTTGCATATGCGGATGGGGATGAGAATGTGGAGGATGAGGATTGAAGATCACACCAGGACTAGATGAGGAAGGAAAGCGGACCTCCATATTGGATTCAATTAGGCTGTTTCCCGGCGGAGACCTTGGTGGACCACCTTGGCTTGGGCTGGGTCGTCGACTTTTAATGTTATCACCTTTAAAGAATTTATTTATATAAATTAGAATTAAAGCAAAGAAACTAGAATAAAAAGTCGAGAACATATATATATAAAATTACCTGCAGATGATGACTGGGCAAATGTATCCAATTCCTTGGGAGACAAATGAGACAGCGGTGTGCTCGGATTGCTATTTAAATTATTTCGGCTGCGATTTGCCGGGTTTTGATTCGGCGGTGATTCTTGGGCGTCCGATTGAAAACAGTTCTTGGATGTCGAAAGGACTCCCCCTACAACACCTACTTGTTGCGATCCAGAAGATGTCACAACTGTCTGCGCAGTCGGTCCTGATCCCAACGTTGTGCCTTCCACATTTGGCGAGTTCGTTGACAAGCCTATGACAGTTGCTCCTGCACTTCCCGCTATTGTTGTGCGCGGCGAGGGCAGGGATAAGTTATTCGGGCTCGAAGGATTTGGCGATTGTTGTGTGGCTATCGGCACGGAGGCCGATCTTTGTGTGGAATGATATGGCGGCGGTGGTCCCTGCAAGGAGCGCTGGCCGATAGGATTAGAAGGTTGCTGCAGCTGCTGTCCTCCTGCTCCTCCAGTCACTGGTCTACCTTTCCCACTCTTTAAACGATCTTCGAAAAACTGCTGTTGTATCTTAGGCCATTCCATATGAGCAATTCCTGCTCCACCGCCTGGTTGATGAGGATGCGGTTGCGTTAAACTTTGTTCCTGGTTCGAAAGTAGATCCTTTGATATATCATTGCCAAACGAGGCCATTAGCTCGTTTGAGTTCACCATTCCTCTCACTGCTTCCACGCCTGATCCTGACCCTGATCCTGGTCCTCCACATGGCAGGTTGCTTTTTTCCCCGCAGCCTATTACAGATCCCATATCGGAAATAACATCACCAGGCAATAAGACATCTTCCGTGGTCATGATGTGGTGCTCTGGTTTCAATTGTCGCATTTGAGAATTTATGATGGAACCACCTGCTGCACCAGTTGCTCCTCCTGCTGCACCTGGAATGCCCATTATTAGTTCGTTGGGCATCTTCGTTCCACCACCCATGGTATTCTCATTCTCGGGGAATAAAAATTGATTCATTTTTTTAATCTTGGCCAACTGCTCCTCTCTGTGCTGACGTTGTTGCGGCGTTAGATTCTCATCCGGAACCTTGACTCCTTGCAGCGATATAATGTTATTTTCATGACTCGGATCGTTGATGTTACCAGTCTTTGATGAGGAGCTCTGTCCTAAATCCACGCCTGCGGCTTCCAATATCTTAATGGCCTGTGATTCGCTGGTAACATCGATATTACTGCTTCGTGCATTTGGTGCGGAACAACCACTCTCCCAACACATTAAATCGCTTTCATTTGATGGCAGGGGATCCGGATGATCGATAAAGGCGTTGCGCTTATTATCACCCGGATTATATTGATTTTTTAGGAGATTGCCAGCTGGTTTTTGTGACTGCTTGGAAGGGGGAACTGCTGATCCCGGTCCCGGTCCCATGCCTATCCATGGCATACCCAAAGACGTATGTCTCTGCTGTAACTTGTTCATTTTCAAGGGGTTTTTCATAAAAAAATCCTCGAGAAAGTTTTTGGTGGCCGGCTGGGTGCAGTGATAGGCGATAATTGTTTGAAATTGCCCGCTTAAAACCGATTCGGCACCTTTGTTGGCCAATTGTGTGGAAAATACAAAGATGTGATTCTGTTGCTGCATGTAATCCAAGCAGTTGTTGCTACCACCACTCGAAGTGTTGGCAGTCATGTTACCTGGTACTCCTCCCGGTACAGTGCCAGATCCTGGTCCTGGCCCCACTCCCACACCAGATCCTAAAGCGAGTATGCTTGAAATTGGCGTATTACTCAAAGATTCATTGTTCAGATCAGGGTTCATTTGATTATTGCAATTGGAACTTTCTATGCCCATTTCGTCATTGTTATTTATGGCCAATGAGGACGAAGATGCCTTTTCTGAGCCGCTGGTTGTATTCATTTCAGTTTTAACTAAAAACCATTAGACAAGTGCAGAGTTAGTATATATGACTTTAAGAACAGGTACTAAGATTATTAGTTATTATAACATGACAACTGCTCTCGTATGCCTAATTATTTTGTAAATATTAATATTAATATTAGTCAATTCATTATACATACATATATGTATAGTGCTTATAAGATATAATATCAACTTTAAACAAAAAACTTCTAAAGCATAAAATATTGAAGAGCTACCAGTGAACATACCAGTCTTGGCGCCAGTGTCCTGGATATTACCACCAATGGAGCCGAAGCCCAAAGGCGACATGTTTGGAGAGTTATCTCTTTCTTCCTTTTTCATATTCACCAAACTGCTTAAGACATCGGCGTTAGGCTCCTCCTTAATGGCAACGGCTGATGTTGCTTTCGCCTTACTAGATCCCATTTCTGTTTGGTAAGATCAAATAAAATAAAATAACAGCATAATAATATAAGTTACGTGACGCTTACCTCCATCTTCCTCTTTTACATGCACCTTCTTCTCTTCCTGCTTGCCTTTACCAAGGTCACTTTCGACCATTTGAGAGCTGTTAAGCGCAGCAGAAAGAGTGCTGCTATTTGAATGTTCGCTCATGTTGTTTGGAGAGTTGAGGCTGCTTGTAGAGTTTTGCCTTAATATGGGAGTAACGGCGTTAACTGAGGATGGCTGTCCTTCGGCAGATAAATTATTATTTCCACCCCCGCCCGAGCTGCTGCTTCCTGATGGATTGGCAATGCTTTTGTTATCATTATTTAATAGACCATTTTTCTCATCCTCTATTTTGATTTGATCTGCAAAAGTATATCAATGAAAAAGATGGCAAGTAAGGAAGTAAATACGAACCTGGTGACAATGTGGAGAAAGGGGGCTCGCTCTTAACTGACTTTGGAGAGTTCCTACTCGCAACAGAGGTGGGTGCACCTGTTGTTGATGCATCTGAGGCGCTTGAAACTTGCGTCTGTGTTGGAGCTGATGGACTGCGGGGCATTTTTGGTGTTGATAACGACGTTTCCTCAATTCTTTATAGCGATAAAAAAGGCCATATCAGTTGAATATCCGGGTCTCCTATCTAATGTATGTTGATATTGATATAAATGCTTGTCAAGCGCATACACATACTTATGTATGGAAATATGCTCACACTGTTAACACTATACAAAAAACATATTTAATATAATCATCATGGAGCCAACAATCACACCGCAATCAATTAGTATTTACCTGTCTCCATTTAACTATGCTAGTTTTTAATCATAAATCGTTCTTCCAGTCAGTTTTTACAATTTTTGTATGTGTATATGTGTATATATACTATTAAGCACATAGTCCTCATTCATTGAATGCAAAGGTTTGCAAACGTTGTTTTTACTATCATATGCAACAACATCCTCTGGACAAATGTATACCAACACTATAAGGAAGCTATTTCCTCTTTATGAAAAATAAAAACAAACGTATAAAAACTATTACAAATAGTTTTAATATTAAATAGAAGTTAATGCCTTTTCAGAGTGACCAACTTTTACTTTTGTCATTACACCGTAAAGAAATATATTTTAAAATTACTTAATACCAACTGATGCCACGTTTCTATAGTACGGTATGCCGAGGGTAAAACAACGTTTTCAAGCAGTGAAAACGGCTATTCGTCATTTTAAAGGCCTATATGGACAGAAGAAATGAAAAATACTACAAAGTTGGATGGCGTTAGGAGATTCCCGACGGCACACTTTTAGTATTTCTCGAGCGGCTTGCAAAAAGATTACAAATTTTAATAAAACAGGATGTTCGCGACCATTTGCCTCTCGCTCTCGCGTGCAGCTAATTTACATATTTTATATTATAGATCCCGCCATGAACAAGTTATGTGGGGAAAATATGATACAGTTAATATAATTAAATTAGTAAAGGGAAATACCATATTTCGTGTTTTTGGCATATATATTATTTTGTAGGGAAGAGGGGAACCTTGAAGAGAAATATAAATTTGAAAGATATAGTTAGCAAGTACAAATTAGGAAAGCTTCACAACTCGCCTTGCTGATCTGAGACATCTCGATGATCCTGGAACAGATTATTTTAAACGCCAAACATTTGCCATTTGGATTCCATTGCCGGCTTCATCCGAGTCTGACCCGATGGGTGGGCGGATTGAGTATAAAAGTATAGACTCTGGTGCCACAATGTTCTTTCATGTACTGGACACCGATCACCCCGTATTGAATCATCTGAAATCCTTGTACAGGTATTCCAGATTGCTGTCGTATTAAGGCGTCTGGGAGCTGTCCGAGGGAGACCCCACTGCTAGAATGCAGGTCAATCGCTATAGGACAATTGTTAATAAAAATAACAAAGCATTAAATGTTGAAATGGCCTTTAGTTTCAGAAGAGACCGCAACATTTGCCCTCCAAAAATGCCAAAAATATAGTGAAAAGAGCGGTCACACCGCAAAGGAATAAACTTTTTCGCACTCGCAAACAGTTTTAGCCTCACCATTCCGTACTTTAAAATTTGTATTTTGTACCCCACTCCGGAAATACTAAAAATGTGCCGTCTCCTAACCGATTCCGTGTGGAATCTCCATCAAATTTTCTAGTATTTTTAATTTCGTATATCCGTACAAGCCTTTAAACGGGGCTTACGAAGAAGTCGTTTTATTATATTTTAAAACTATTCAAATTCAATTTGGAAAGGTTAAAGGTTTTATTTGCATACTGAATTTAAAATATGGGCAATTTTCAAAAAACTAAAAAAAGCTTAAAAAAGGAGTATATTAAACATGGTTACATACAAAATTGGTCAGATTGATCAAGATTAAGAGAATTTTTCATTTCCTAAAATTAAAAAAAAAAATCAATGTCAAACACCCGTAAACGCAAATAATATTGTTTTTATAAAAAAAAGTCATAAAAAATGGCTTGTTTTGTTTTGATGCCAATCTCTTAAACAGAAGCATTTTGCTTTTACTTTTGCTTTCTAATGTCACACAGAGAATGCAATGTGTCAATATAAAGTGCAAAAGGACATACATATGTGATCACCAATGTTTGTACAGTTTTAGTTTGAATTATCGCTTTGCAAAATGTCGCGTGCGACCGGGACTAAAATTGAATTTAAAAAATAACTACTTAATGTTATATCAAACAAAATACATTATAAAGATAATTGATTGCACAAATAATTAAAATTTATTGCATTACAATTTTCCATCATGCTTCGCTGAAATCAGAGGTTAAACTGGTTTTTTGCAAATGTAACTTCTGTTTTTGTCCCGTGCGAATGCAGTACATTTTAGTGAATATCTTGAAAACGAACAAGGGCCCAAAATCGATCTTAGCACATATTATAGTGCTAACCAAGAGCTATACGTTACAAATTTTGTAAAATTAAAATAAAATCTTGGCACATGTCTTTTTTTTAAGTTTGAATGCGTACGATTGTCGCATTCGACACCTGAGAATTGACCATATTTAAAAATTGGGAGACATTGGAACATATCATATAACTTTTAGCAAGGACGGCTATACTGGCATTTTATAAATTCTTATATTATTATAAAACAACCTTTCAAATGATTTAACCATCATTTAAACATCGATGTAAATAATGGTCAAATAATGTGAAAAATTCCATGTTTTTGTGATTTCTTTTTCCGACGATACAGTTAAAATGTAACAAATGGTACATTAAAATATAACATTTGATGACTGTCTTATAAAATTTGTATAAGAAATATTTTAAAATACGGCAATGGTAGCAATTTCCGGACGTGTCTTGGAAAAGTTGAATTGCGGGCCAATCATAACTCGGTGCCGGATCATCTGAAATAAAAAAAAAAACAAAATTAATTCGTTAGATAATAGAATAGCCCAGGTGACGCTGTCGAGTTTTATTTAATTCCAAATTTTGAATTTTATCGAAGACTTTGAAGTGAAAAACACAATTTTTTGGGAAAAATCGGCTCATTTGTCATTGTAAAATCAAAATTATGAAAAAAAAAAAAAAACAGCGATAACTCGTAAAATATGTACAGAAATAGTGTTTAAAATTTCAAAAGAATTAGTGCAACAGTTTTGAAGTTATGCTTGGCACCTACTTTGAAAACGTGAGTTGTGGGAAAAGCTCTTTAAAGTTGTAAACACAAAAAAATGCAGTCTAAAACGACAATCCGGCCGGTATAAAAATACCCATAACTTTATCATTTTTGCTTTAATTGACCTGAAATTTTGACACAATATTCTTAAGATATTATGCTTTCAATATGAACCAAAACCATAAAATACTTGTGGTATATATAGTGCCCTTCCTTTTTTTCCTATGGGTGGCAAATCACCGCCATTCGTTTTGTGGAGGACGGACTTTTGCAACCTAGCTACTAAGGACCCTGACATCACATCGAGGATCTTGTTGATCGTAGAGAATCCCAGAACCCAGAACCCGGGCGATACCTCGTCCGAGTAATTCCAGCTCTTGGGCTCCTTTGTGTTCACAAATTCCCTGGAACAATGCGTGGAAACATTATATGTATATGGGATTCTTATAGGCGTACACTCACCTCACAGACTTTTTTCCACTAAAGCTAATGCGACGCTTGATTATGGTCTGCAGCGTATAGCCGCAAAAAACCTTTGTGCCGTCCGGCAGAGTCTGGAGCTTGGAATAGGTATCGCCGGTGAAGACGGCTCCCTCGCCGCTGCTACCATCGCCTGCAGTAATATGGTAACAAATGTGTCCGGTGGTGCGACACGGTGTTGATAAGCACTTCATATTCTGGTTGCCAATGGTGAAGGTATCGTCCTGTTACACCTTGTTATTCAAGGCGCCGATGCCGTCAGCACCGCCGTACACATCCAGAGCCTGGGCCCATAGCTTAACGAGCTTCTCGTTGCCGCCGGCATGGTTCCGTTTTGATCACCAGTTCCGAATCCTCCGAATCAGAATCCTTCTGATACACGAAAAGGTACATGTAGTTGTCCAGCAGGGCCGTCAGGATCTTAGTGTCCATGCCCGCAAGCTTTACATCTTCCAAAGTGCTGTGCATGCCTCTCAAGCCCAATTTCCTTAGTTTTAGGACTTGTTTTTAAATTTATTTTGTCTATTACCGAACTGCACTCCGCATTCGTGGCTATAAAAAATAAAATTCTAAATAAAAATAATAACTTATAATTATTTAAGAATCATAAAATATTATAGGGTTTTAAATTAAGATGCCACTGTTTTCATGAGTAATAACTTATCTTTCCTAAATATAATTCAACGATCAATTCAATTCAAAGGTATCGCTCCCATTTTGCTGATCATGATGGATAAAATCTTGCATCATGATCAGTGATCAAGGCGTTCAGCAGAACTATCGATAGAAATCCATCACTGATTAGTGATCATATTGTTCTGGTGAACGCAACCAATGACTTACCAGTCAGATGATATACGAAAAGATCACAAGAACACTGGAACAGGGCAAAACAAGACAACAAGAAGTTCAATTGCATTCAACATTATCCAGGATATTGACCTGGCAAATGTCTGTACCAGGAGCATTGAGATCTCTCAGATCGGAAAGATCTTGCCAACATATTTTAAATTTATATTTCTTCCCAATGTTCCCCTCTCTCTTACAAATTAATATAATTGCCAAGAGCTCCGTTTGAAACGCCTGTACCACGCAGCGCCGGTCCCATAATGTCCGGCTACGTTATCTGCTATCAAACTTAACCCACTTCCTGGTCTGCGTCTGTGCCATTGTGACCAGCAGCCAAATGAGTCTGGGAAAAACTTAATTGCTCCAGGTGGCAGCCACACAAGTAGAAATTCACTCGTGAGGAACTCCACTTTTGGAGCAACATTGCTATGAAGGCGATGATTGACGAAATGCGAAAACTTAAACCAGACCTCCGGGTGGTCGTTGAGCACTTTGGTCAGAAGGAAGAGGCAAATCCCCTGAGCTCGTCCTGATGCGGTGATTGTGGTGGGGAAAATGTAATAGCGAGATCCTGGCTCTGGTCACGAGAAGGGAAGACAGCCAGCTGATCGACCTACGTACGGGAAACTTGCTCCTGGGGGTTGCCAGAGGGAGCTCAGAGAGCACCAAGTCCTTGAGGGACAGAATCTCTGTGGTTCTTTGATACGCGGCGGAAGTGCGGCCCCTGACGCAGAAGTCGAAGTAAGAGTATTCGAAATTCGGAGAGCGAAATCCGAAATCTGATGCCTCCGCCCCGGGTACGGGAAAATAAAAACGGCGGTCCTGCCATGTTCAATGGAGACGGAAGTCATGCGGCGTGGTCAGCAGTCGCATAGAATGGACCAGATGCAGAGTGTGGGAGCTCGAGTGCCCTCCTCGCTTCTTCAGATGCCTGAAACTTGGACACATCGCCATCAGGTTTCAAAGCCTGGTGGACAAATGCGGTTGCTGCATTAAGTGCGGCGAAGCAGGCCACAAGGCAGCTGTATGCAGAAAGAGACCAGTCGGCCCCCCGGCAGAGGAGCCGGCCCCGGAGAGGCAAACCACCAACCTGGCAGGAAAAGCAGCTCCGGCAGTAACGACAAAGTCTCTGAAGAGGAAGTGATCCGGATGGGGAGAAGCGTGCGCCCTGAGAAGGCGCCAGGGCCAGATGCTCTACCCAACAAGCCACTAAAACTAACCATCGCGCTTCCAAGTGCCTGGAGAAGAGAAACTTTCCGGAGAGGTGGCAGAGGCAGGAGCTGCTGCTACTATACAAGCCGGGCAAGCCGACATGGGAGACATTAATATGGTCAAGGAAGTAGCCGGAAATCGTCCATCGCGGGCAAGAGGTGGCTCCAAGAGCTACTGTCTAGTGGTAACGCTAGACATGAGGAACGCCCTCAACACAGCGAACAGGAAGCGCACCGCTGCAGAAGAATTTTCGAATGAGCCGTTCAAATCAATCGAATCATGACTCGAGCGCTGACGGAGGCAGTCCTGATCTCTAGCAGGAAAATGGTGGAAAATGCCGAGATCCGGGTAGGCGGAGCCGTGATTAGATTGCAAAGGGCGATCAAATACCTCGGCTTCCTGATTGATACACGGCTATCAAGGAGCACTTGAAATACGTTTAGAAGAAGGCCAGTAGGACGGCAGGAAGTCTCGCACGCATACTTTTAAATACTAGAGGGCCCAAGTAGAGCACCAGGAAGCTGCTGACGAGCGTCGTCACTTCCCAGATCCAGTGAGCGTCGCCGGTGTGGGCGGAAGCAGCCGAGACCAAGGCCTATATGCGGAGCGTCGAGGCCAAGTGCATTCAGTACAATCTCGGACGACGCAGTTTAGGTGATAGCATGATCCCTCTGAGAGAGTTGGTTGGAGGCATCGCTAAGGCTGAGAGCGGCCAGAAGAATAATTATCCCATAGCGATTGACCTGCATTCCGGCAGTAGCGTCTCCCTCGGACAGCTGTCTATATCTTTCAAATTTATATTTCTCTTTGAGGTTTCCCTCTTCCATACAAAACAATATATATGCAAAAAAACGAAGTATTGTTTTTCCCTTTACTAATTTAATTATATTAACTATATTAGCTCTTCCGAACGTCTAAATTCATTCTTAACTAACATTCTTATTCATGGCGGGATATATAATTTAACATATGTGAAGGAGTTACAAGTGAGAGCGAGAGGCAAAGGGTCGCTGACAGGCTTTATTGAAATTTTTATTCTTTTTGCAAGCCGCTCGCAAAATACTAAAAGTGTGTCGCTGGGAATCTCCTAACGCCATCCAACTTTGTAGTATTTTTTAATTTCGTGTCTCCGTACAGGCATTGAAAATGCCGCTGACGAACAGCCGTTTTCAACTATGTTATTTACCTCTTGCTCTCACTCACTGCTTGAAAACGGTGGTTTACCCTCTCCATACCGTGCTTGAGACAGATACTTTAACTGAGTGCGTTAAACATCAGCAATATACTTGTGTTGGCAACACAAATGAGTGTTGTTCAATATGTTGCTAACAACATCGGGCTTCATTTGGATGTTGCGCGATATGTTTCTAGAAACATTTCTTACATCTGCTTTCAGCACTGTTGAAATTAGGCTTTTGATACATTTGCGTATAATTAGAAGAAGTAAATTAAACATTGACTGTTACTTTCGTAATGTTTTTTTTTTTTTTTTTTTAATTTCCCACTTCTATAGAATCTATAAAATATGGTTGACATTTTCGATAAATAATAAAAAAAAAAACGAATTTTAAGATTAAAAAATTTAGTTTTATCTCAGAATAAACAAAAAATGTGCTGAAACGGGGAATTACACTTTCGTATAGTCGTTCAATCAGGCTTAAAGTAGAAAGAAGTCTATCAGCAAGGTTTTTTTCATATATATATATGTAATATCTGAACCATTGTTATTTATATTTTTTCGTTACTCATTGCACATTGCGCATGCTTAGGCGTTAGGGGTGGGGTCATACGGACTCTCATGGTATAGTACCATTGCCTCTGGCAACCCTTAAACACGACAAGATATAAAGGGTGGTGTGTTTTTCCTCTGTTCACTTAATTTCAGTTCCTTTCTGTTTTTGGCTTTTGGTTCCCGTTCACAGTTTAGTTCGAATTGGGAATAATTCGCGTAAGGCTGAGAAGCTTTATATGGCAACGCGACAGAGGTTTTTTCGGTAAAAACCACCCACATGTGTGCATGTGTGTATACTTACACACATGCGTAAAGGAGAATTTTCCTATTCAAAAAGTTTTTAAAGGAGCTCCAGGTTTCCAATCCATTAAATGCAAATGTTATTAAAGTTATGCGGAAATTTGAAAAATTTTTATAAAATACAAAAGTAAATCGGATGAAGTGAAAGCAAATTATAATATTTAACAAAGTAATTAAGTGTATGCTGAGTGTTTTTTTTTCTTTCAAAATATGTTTTAAGAAACAGTGTGTGATGCGAAGATGAAACTCAGAATCCTGGCTCTAATTTAGGTAAATTTGAACAAATGAGAAGTATAAACCTGAAAGCCAATTTGGATACATTGATAAACGTGTGAAATATATTTTTGATAAAGTGTAGGGAAAGCAACCCCAAAACATTTGGCTGATGTGTATGTGAGGTGTGCTTGGAGCAACCCTTAAAGGTCGGTCGGTGCGGCGATGGCAACGAAAAACGTACTATATTGGTGAACAAAAATATCACAAAATAAATAAGAGAAAATTAAATTGTATATATTAAATAATAATACTATACTATTTTTAACTAAAAATATTTACTTTAATCTTTTTATTTTATTTTTCACGTTATTGTTAAACGTTTAAATCTAAAACTCGCAAGTAAGGAACCCGCATACTTTGATCCTTGTTATGTAAAAGAATTTTTTAATGAAAATAATATAAAGAAGCTTAAATTTTCCCATTTCAGATGCTTTTTGCATCTTCCTCCAATTAAGGAATGGACTCGATTAGTCAGATAATTGATCCGCAGCCAACATTTAGCCAGGATTTAGTTGAAGATGCCACTGAGTTTATCACAGAACATCAGTCTCAAACACATCAAGAGGGAGAAGGTCCTGGCCCTGGTTCTGATCTTGATGCCGATGAGGTTTTATCCATGCAAACAATAATTAGCGATAAGAAACATCGTTCCGGACCAGATTCGGGTGCTGTTGTCATGGTTATCGATGAAATGGATAGGCAAACGACGACAACATATCAAATTGTGCCTCATCAGCAACTGCAGCAATTGCAGCAGCCAAGAACTATGTCCTTCGGAATGATCCAACAGGATCAGCACCATAATCAACGCATGATCGACAGCAGTCCCGTGGAGTCTTTTGTGGCCTCCGATTTGAGCTTGGATGGCTTGACAGTGGATGGCATGAGCCAGGCGACAATTCTTCCCCAAGAATTGACAACAGTCAAGCCAGAGACAATGAGCAAGTTGCTTATAGTTCAAACCAAGTCAGGGTTGGATCGAGCAAACAATAAGCGTATAAGAATGCATGTGGATGTATCGAGTGTAAGTGTTGGACTCGGCGCTGATGTTGACGATCTGGATGAGATTTCATCCGACGGCGACAATTGTGATGATGAAGGAGTAACATTAAACCAGCATCATCATCAGCAGCTGTTGGACGAGCACCAGCAGGTGTACAGCCTGGCCAGCCATCATCATCATCAACATCATCAGCACCAGCATCACCTTCATGCCCATGGTCATGGACAGGCGATGCTTGGTTTGCAGCACAATAGATCCGGTCAGTTGGACATCGGACATAGTATGGCAGGAGGGGTTATAGTTAATTCCCAAGACAGAGAAAAAGACGTGGATGAAGAAGATGATAATGTCAATGGAGATGGAAATGACGAGGATGAAGATGATGATGAGATTCGAGATCGAGGCCAGTTGATTAGTCAAAGTTCTTATCAGACGCTGACATCGGTTAATGATCGTTTGTCACCACCGGGCTTTAGTCCAACATCATATGCGACATTGACGCCGATCCAACCCCTTCCGCCTATATCAACCATGTCAGAGAAGTTCGCTTATTCTGGTCACATTTCTGGAAGCGGCGATAGCGGCGATACCGCGGATGTCAATGGAGCAGAAGGAGACAGAGTGGTAGTAGAGGCCACTACCAGTGCCTCATCGGAAACTGTAGTTGGAGGAGGTAATGGTAGTGGTAATGGTAATGGAACATCCTCCGAATGTAACTCGTACTCCTCAGCCTTACCCATGACCATTAGTGGTGGTCATCATCATCTTGGATTAGGCGTCTCACCGTATTCCTCATACGAAAAGCTAACGTCGATGATATCACCACCACCTAATAATTACCTGGTTTCGTGTGACCTGCATGCCGCCACCGTTGTCACGTCGTCAGGACGTATGCCAAATCCGTCCCATCTGGAAGAGTTGAGCCATAATGGAAACAAAAAGGATTCGGCGATACAGGAGAATACCGAAGACCATATGGGAGGAGGAAGTGGAGGGGAAAAATTTACTTACTCCGGTCATATCTCTGGTGGGGGAGATAGTGGCGATACTGACAACCATGGTGAAAAATTCTCTTACTCTGATCATATCTCTGGTGGAGACAGTGGTGACACTGATGTTCACGGAGAAAAGTTCTCTTACTCTGATCATATTTCTGGAGGCAATAACGTTACTGATGTCAACGGAGGAACGTAAGTATGACAAGAAAGCTAGCTAAGTTCGACGCGCCAATGTGTGTATACCATAGTAGATTATAACTTATATATATATTATAATCCTTAGAACATAAATAATATATATTTGTGTTAAAACACATTACAGTCAGTTTTACAGTTACAGTTTTAAATACATCGTTTGGCATTTTCCCCTACATTTAACTATAGCTTCAATGGCAGCTATGTTATATAGTAGTCAGATTTTAATTCAATTAAAATTAAATTAGACTGAAAACTGAAATAGTTATATAGTCGTCCGATCAGGTCCGTTCCGACTTATATATGAGTGAGAGTATATGGAAGACTAGCTGCAAAGTTTCATTCAGATTCAACTTCAAAATTGAGAGACTTATTTGCGTGGAAACGGACATTTATAGATTGACTCAGCTGTTGATGCTGATAGAGAATATATATATGTACTTTTAATGGTCGGCTATGGCTGTTTCACTGTTTTCAAGCTTCTGATTAAACTGATATTAATCTCCAAGAGCATAAAACTCTAAATACCCTACAGTACCATTCATCAGTAATGCATCATTAATTCATGAACAGTCAAGGCGGTGTTGTTGATGGTTCATCGATGAATGTCCATACAAGTTGCGGATGAATTTAACATTGGCATGCCTTAGGCTGTCATCAACAGCAATCCATCAACAATTAATCAATGATTCATCCACAATTCATCATCGGCCGAGCCATGATACAATTCGTAATTGTATCGTGGGCTGAGCATTGATGACTGTTGATGACGGCGGCCTATTGATGACATGTGGTACTACAGGGTATTAAGAGAAAATTCTCCTGAACTTTGCAAAAGAGGGGTAGTTGTAGATCAATAATTTGTATCGTGTTTTGGGTTAAACCTATTCCTATATATCCGTTCTTTTAAACATTTTTATAACGGGGAATATAATAGGTTTTTATATTTCAATCGTTGATCATTTCAATCATCATAAGATTTTGATCGTAATTCAATAAACACCATGTTTTCAAGCCTTCTATTCTTATTTTAACTATAGGTCTATGCGGTTAATATATAAATATTTCGTATCTTTACATATATTTTGGTATTTACCTTGTATCTTTTTTGAAGGACTTGGCTCCAAATAGCTTCAGAGCGGGAGTCACGACTTCACCTGCCGTCGGAACACAGTCTGGATGACCGATTTCATTTGGTGACCGAACGAAAAACGCGACTCAACATGACGGCACAGGAGAGAACGACGTCGACGCGCTTGCAAATGCAGCGTCACCTGCATCATCAAATGGCAGCAGAAACTGTTCCTTCAATCTGTACCACAGATTGGAAGTCAGATGAAGATTGGAAGCATGGATCTAATACAATTCTACCCGTGGTTGTGTCCCTAACACCGACACCGCCGCCACCGTCCATAACAAATGTTGATACGGCATCGGCCGTGGGACTTAAGCTGAGTGGAGGGATGTCTCCAGAACAACAAAGATCACAACAATATTTTTTGAACAAGAGCCAGCAGCAGGAGATTGACGGAGCCAAAGATCACGTTACCCCGGAGCCCTCAGTTTGTAGCATTCAACAGTCGAGTCTCTTGAATGGTTTTCAAAATATACAACAGCAATGTGCAAAGATCGCAATTTCCGTCTCGCCCAAAAACGGAGGCGGAGGTGGAGGATCATCTAGCCGGACTAGTGGGAACTCCACAGACATGGAGGAGATTAATACTAAGGATCTGGCTCAGCGTATTTCGGCGGAGCTCAAGCGATACAGTATCCCACAGGCGATTTTTGCTCAACGTGTCCTCTGCCGATCGCAAGGCACCCTGTCCGATCTCCTGCGAAATCCAAAGCCATGGTCGAAGCTCAAATCGGGACGAGAGACCTTCCGACGAATGTACAAGTGGCTGCAAGAGCCGGAGTTTCAACGGATGTCGGCATTGCGTATGGCGGCGGCTCAAATTCCACAACGTGTGACGCATTTGGGTTCTGGTAATACTGCAACTGGTATACTAGGATCCGCTGGCACGGGTACTGGAACTAATGATAACAGAGACGTTATGACAACTGATGCAGATACTCATGGGGGTTCATCAACTATGTCACCAAGAGGTAGGTGCCAGAAAAAACTGGTATAACACTTTTAATTTTAAACTCCGATTGGAAAAAGCGCACATTTATTGTTGATGTTAAACACTATTTAATAAGACAATCCCCTTAAGACCCAAAAAACCGAACTATATAAAATGTTTTTTTATTGAACCTCAGCTACACCTATTGAACCTGTGTCTACAGTTGGACCTGCAGTTGGCCCTAATCTCTCCATCACTTCCAACGTTGTTGTCAATTGCCGACGAAAGGAGGAGCCACAGATCGAGCAAATGCCCCAGCCAAAGAAGCCACGACTGGTTTTCACTGATCTACAGCGCCGAACATTACAAGCTATTTTTAAAGTAAATAGTTTTAAAATAGTAAATCATTATATATATTTATAAAAATCAATTATCTACTTTAGGAAACCAAGCGACCTTCAAAAGAGATGCAAGTGACTATAGCCAGACAGTTGGGCTTAGAGCCTACAACGGTGGGTAATTTCTTTATGAACGCAAGAAGGCGATCGATGGACAAGTGGCGTGATGATGATTCCAAAAATAACACAAACATACAGCATGTAATGCAAAGTCGTCCGCAGCAGCCGCAAGATGAGCAAGATGAGGATCATAGTCAAATTCCCAATCAAAATCATAACACAAGTCAGAGCATATCGCACGATAACTACTCCACTCTTCACACGACAGCCATGTCTCCCCTGGGCGCCTTCGACGAAGATGCCGATATGGATTTGGAGTTGGAAGGTCATGACTTCGATTTAGTTGATCCAGACCAACAAGGTGATAATAATACTGATCGCCACGGCGATATGTTGTGACAGCATAGACGATCTGGATGCCGCCACAAACCGGAGAAGATGAAATCTCTTCGAGGTACATTTACGTGCTTGAGTCCTAGTAGATCGAGAAAGAGTGCAAATGAGATCTCGGGAAGCCGAAGAGTTGCTGGTAATATTCATAAAAGTGAGGATAATAAGGTTGAAGCCAAGCTGAAACTAGAGGATAAGCCGCAACGGTCGCAAAATCGGCTACGCAATACCGACAGCAATATTTGTATGGATGATATGATGGGCATATCCGATTATTTGGATGATCTCAAGCTAATGATAGTCTGCTGAAAGAACACACACAAAAATGGCATACTTAATAGCAACCCTAACACACTTTTCAGATATATTTATCTAGGGACACCATGTACAACTAGGTTCATTTTTGGGATACATCAAGGCAAATAACACAATAACCTAACTTGACTTAATTAGCAGTACATTTTCTTTAAATTTTTCTTTATGACAAGGAAATGTAAAAAATTTGTTTTCAATGGTTGCAAAAAACGTAACCATATTATGCCACTTTCCAGCAATAATGTATTAATTAGCTTTTTGGGGCCAGAGGGTGACATTTTTATAATTTCACTTAACTCGTTACTTTTTAATTTTTTAATTTAATATTTATTAAGTATATTTTAAAGCTATCGAAGATAGCCTTCAGTTCTTTAGTATTTTATGTACCTTATTTAGTTTTATTTAACCCTTGCAATTTATTATAAAATTGACTAAAAGTTTCAACGCTGTAAAGGAGTCATTTCCGACTCTAGGAAGTAGATATAGTCTTGATCATATTCAACAATCTATAGGGCAGGCTTCTGTCCGTCTGCCTCTCCATTATTATGCAATATTTTTTTCAGTTTGTGAGCTTTCTAAATAACTTTGCAGATAGCAGTTAGTATATGCATCGGAACGGGAGAAATCAAACGACTTTATCATTACGGTGCCATAGAACGATCAAAAAATGAGTTGGAAAGTATTCTGATAATTTCACCCATAGTTAATTATACTTTGTGCCAACGAAGAATTCATGTATATTGAATTATTTATGTTTTTCTTTTTAAGCTTTGCAAAACACGTTCTTAGCTGAAGTTTTTTATTTAGTTCTTTTGCTTTGCCGAAAATTTCACATGCGGTCATTCTCGACTGTATGTTTCCTAGGTGTTGAAGATATTCGCAAATAACCTGAGATATAGTTGTTTTTTAAAAAAGTTCGATCTCTCTTCATATATGTATAGCTTTTTATCGCTCCAGTTATGTTTATTTTATGCGAAATGGATCGATTTACAATGGTCGAACTGCAAGTTGCAAGGGTTAACGAAATATTTAGCTTCATACTTTCTGTACTTGCATTTGCACAGCAAATAACACAGCGTTTTTAAAACAATTTGCGTTCACAAATATATAACGTAAATGTTTATATAGGTAAGGCGTGTGCTATATTTAAATTAGCAGTGGCTATTAAAGTTTGGCCCTAGGCGAAAAAGAACAACCAAAATTGGTATACAAAAGAGCAGTGTATAGATATTTAGATACATTTAGAAAAATAAAATTAATAAATCGTAAAAATAATAAAGAAAATCGATTCAAAGGGAAATCATAAATTTATTGTGTATCTAGTCAAATTTATAAAGTAATCATGTAATAACCGAAGCGAATATTATAAACCTATATTATTCTTAAAAATAGAACTTATAACAATAATATATCTAAACTCATTAGCATCTTAAATCGAGTTTAAGAATGGCTTCGAAAAACAATGTTTTGTTTAGTTTTGTGCATAAAATTAAATGTTCATTCTAACACGATATATTTATTCATGAAATAAACTGTATATAACTGTATGAAAACTGCATCTCTTCAGACAGCAAACCTTTTATTTAATTATTTACAAATAACAAAGAGCCCTTTTAACCTTAATACTTATAGGTTATTCTTATTTATACGGTATAAGAAATGTTATGAATTATACTCATTGGGATTATATTCATGCACTATATGTAAATCGAATAGGATTTATTGAGAATAATAACGATGCTCGATGTATGTTAGTCAATTTAGTTTAAATACAATTTAGAAACGTAATTCGAATGATGGAACGATGGAGTGTACGGTCACCTCTTTAGGCACATTAATATATTTTAAGATATCTATGTAAAGATAAAATCAAGCAAATGCAATAATAAAATAGAGGCAAAAAGTCATTATGTAGGTTATCTTATCTATTTATGTTGCCTTATACACATGTAAATTTACAGAGTAAAAACAATTGAAAACTAGCTGAAACTAGTTATATTTTTTTCTTGTTTTTTTCATAGTAATTTTAATAGTAATATTATGGCAAAATTTATTTTTAATTTCTGCAGATTTTCCGGGGGCCTTTTCAGGGCCAAATAAGATGAAATTAAGATAACTAAAACTAAACTAAACTTAAGATAACTAAAAACAAAATTTAACAACAAAACATTTCCCCCCTTATTTTTATTGAGTTTTGCAATAAAATACGATTACATTCTTATGTTATTATTTTAATTCAAGTTTAATATTCAAAAAGAATAAACCTTACTTTACATCCTTGCAGGGCGTTATAGTTTTTGTCATGCACAATTTTATTTGGTCAGCCCGTTTCTACGGAAAGTAGCCTCTCAGTTTCAAGCTATCTGAGTGAAGCTTTGCAGTTAGTCTTCTTAATATTCTCACTTGTATAAAGTAGGATCGGGACGATTCGCACGGCTATATCATAGCAAGCCACAGGAAGAATAAAAAAAATTATAACTTTGTTTTTACTCATTTACTTCTAACCCGAGATATAACTGGTTTATATGTTTTTGGACTTTCAGTTTAAATTCTATGAAAATCGGACTACAATACCGGGGAGGTAAGGGTATAGAAAACGAAGCTAAGCTTTTGCTGATGTTATTCCATGGCTGACTGATGGAATGGTGGTGGCCACCTTCTCCTGGGAAAAGGTCCTTCTTGAGGTACCTCCTAGAAACGTAAGTATTCAAGAGGCAGAATTCCGTGACTCGCACATCCGAAAATCCTTCCTGGCCGGTTCGACGTTGAGGGGCTAACCAGCTGTGTTGAAGGCACCTTCCTAAGAACGCCATCGAGTAATTTTTAAGGATCAGTGCCTCTTCTATGTATCCCACCACTACGTGCAGTTCTGTTTCCGTTAAAAGTCTTTTTTCCGTTCTTTCTCTAATGTGGTTATATACATAGTTCTTCTTCCTGGTTTATTCCGTATTTCTGGGTTCTTCTTTCTGGTTTCTTGGGAAGTGTGTATTTAACAGGATCTTACTTGTGTTAAGCGCTTTCCTAATTTTTCTGAGCTAGCTCCACCATTGTGCGCACGACGCCTTTTAGGCATTGTTGAGAATGTTCGTGAAGTCCTTGTCGATTTTTCCTAGGGGGATCGAATCTTGATCCGCCTGATTTTTCCACTTCTGTGGAAGGAAGCCAAAGTAGTCTTTTGCCAAAATCAGGAAGAAGAAAAAACTTTCCACGGAAATAGCAGTGGTGCGATACATAGAAAAATATTCGATGGCCCCTGTGTAGGGGGCCGATCCTTCCGCTACAGATCCTTGGAGTTGAATATAGCTACCGCTACGCAGTCGGAAAAAATATAAACCGTGGAGGTTAAGAAAAGAAGTCGGAGGCGTCGTGGGGTAATTCGAAGCGTTCCAGCTTTATTGGGCTGCATACATATTACTAATCAGCTTAAACATAAGTTTAACATAAGAGCCGCGCTCCCGACCGATAAGCTAAGCATGCGAGAAGGCGGTTTCAAAAAAGTATGTGCAGACTTCGTCCTGAGCTCTTTCAACAAGATAGGAGTTGAAGAAGACATCAGATCATAGATCGCCCAATGCTAACGAGCAGAACGATAAGAGCCAAACTGAGGGGCTCTCATTACACAAGATTTGTGAAGAGGGGCACACCTCCGGGGGAAATTCAGACTCCACTATTCTGGCTGATAAACACGGACGACATATTGAAGTCACTCATCAGTGAAGGAGTAAAAGTGCTAGCATACGCAGATGACGTAGTCTTACTCGCTTCAGGAACGGATCCCTGATCCGAAATCTATAATTTGAAATCTGTGAAGGAGCTGCATGCAAGAGCGAAAAGGAAATGGTCGAGACCAGCCTTTTTTATTAAAATGTTGTTTCTTTCTCGCACACCGCTCTGGAATACAATATGAGTGCCATATTTTTGTCTTCGTGTCTCCGTGCAGGCATTTAAAACGGCGCCTACGACCAGCCGTTCCTACAGCACTTTTCCAACACTCAAGAGCGAAAAAATTATAATTTGCACGTATTTGATGCAATTGCCTATGAAAATCAAAAGTTGCTATAAATAGTTTTAAAAATAAGACCATTATATGATGAGCTGTTTATAATAGATAAGCATAGAGTAACTTTAAAGAAAATGTATGGAAGTTAAATAATCTATGTATATATAAAAGAAAGTCGTGTGTGTTACACCACTTATAACTCAAGAACGGCGGAACAGATTTGCGTGTAAATTGGTAGGGAGGTAGCTTAGAGCCAGGAGACGGACATAGGATACTATTTATCCCGTTCGACAGGAAAGCGAGATATCCATCGCTGATATATAGCATTTACTACAAACCAATACATCATGTAGTCGTTTCCCAACATTTCAATTGGAAACAATAAAATATATAAAGTGTAGGTTTGTCTTTAAGGTGGTAAGTTAAAATGTGTTATGTGGATCGTGCATTTGAGGTTATAGTCCAAAAGGACGACGTGCGAACGGACATCACCATCAACAAGTGTATTCACAGAAGTTAAGCAAAGAAAGAGAAAATATAATTAAAGAAAATGCCCAATTGAGACAACGCGTGAGGACACGAAGATCATTGGCATCATACAATCGATTGGCATTCCAATATGATCCCACTGAGAACTACAGGGATGTTGAAAATTTAGATATTGAACCAATGACGACTATATGCAGATATTGCAATGCGTTAAAGTCCAAGAGAGAAACGGCTGGATTATGCTTGAAGTGGAAAAGTTCAACTGGATTCATTACTTTTGAAATAAAAAAAAAAAAATAAATAAATAAAAATAATTTCTTAATCACCAAACGAAATGTTACATAAAACGAAGCCATCTGGTTTCCTAGTATAACAATAATGATAATAACAAACACAGTTATAATTAATATTGTATTAATTTGTAATGGTCGAATTGCAATTGCAAGGGTATACAAACTTCGACGTCCCAGCCTTAGCTTCCTTTTTTAATTTGTTGTTAATATTGTTTTTTAAATAAATAAAAGTAATCTAATTAGATCGTTACGCAATGTTATCTGAAAGATCAAGTATGATAGACTAAAAAGTATGTCTCCACATTTAACATTTTTTAGCGCAGCATTTTAACTATTTTATTTGGTTTGAATTATAGTTTTATTACTTGTATGTCTCGACCCAGGGCTCTGAAAACCAAATGTATTAATATTTAACACTTAACGATTTTTTTATTATTTAAAAGTTGAATTGTTTTCGCCACATATATTTTTAGGCTTAAATTTAAAACACTAACAAAACCAGACATGCTGACTTGAAAAGGTACTCTATTTATTTATAATCTTTTAGGATGTCAAGCTTAAGCCGGAATATTAAAATGCTTGCTTTATTTTACTTCAAGTAACTTGTTAGTAACTTAAACTTTGGTGTCTGTTAACTTTCTGTGCGCATTTAGAATGCAATAACATTTTTTTAAGTATGGTACATATGTAGATCTGATCGAAATAAGGGGCTAACTAGTAACAACGATCTCCTGATATATTGCATTTGATTTTAAAATTTCTTACTGGTGTATGGTTTTTAAAGTCTCATACAGACGATGTCGCATTCTGTCTATCGCTGTCGATGGTCAGACTGGAAGCTCGCATACTGAGCGAGGCCAATGATAGATTACTATGGTATATGTTCTTTGGCGACATTATTAAGGTGACATTTTCTGTGTCCGATGGCATTGATCGATTAATGTTACAGAATACGGTTGAGGGTAGAAGAATATCCGAGTTGATGCCGAATAAGCCATCAACTGAAAGAACATTTGCATTGATGACGCTGCTGCCGCCTCCATCTGTGCTGTCCGCTTCAATTGGTATGACTCCATTTGCGTTTCCGCTTCCGCCAAGCTGCAGTCGAGAACTCATCAGCTTATTACATGCCGGACAAGATCGTGGCGTATTTTTGTCCCGACGTCGTAATATTTCATAGGCACATCTATCGTATATTCAAATCCAAACGTGTGTGTGAAAATTTGATCAAGTGGTTAGAGATGGGAAAGGTCAACCTCTCACCTCGCATGGAGAATGTGTGCACAGGGCAGAGCCTCCAGGTTTTCCGGCTGTAGCCCAAATAGCTCTCCACAGGCCCCACAATTCAAGCCCAACGCCGCATCCGTTTGATTTGCAAGACGAAAGTGTGAGTTGTATTGATCCTCGTCCCCAGGGCGCGATATATTAGTGCGAGCCGGCAACGGATCTTGCGAACTAGAAACTATAAGATGCGCCAAAATATAACTTCTAGCTTGTTTCAGAGATTAAAGAAGAACATACCTTGGCCCCAATGGAGCTAGCAACCTCTAAAAGACGCGTATTGAACTCGAGCGGTCTGCAGTTACAGATTTTATTTTGCAGACGCAGCGTTTCCAAGCAACGAGCAGCTCCGTCCATGGCTTCCATTTGAGCCATGCGATCGCCCAAGCTGGCAGAAGTGCCCATCGCCTGTTCATATTGTCGAAAGGCCCTCTGAAATTATATTTACAGTTTATATTTGTATTTATATGTATATATTTCAGTGATTCGAAACTTACATCCATATCCATTTTCTTACGATAAATGTCACCCATAATCCGAATACTGCGGGTAAACGTAGCCTGATCACCGGATATCAGCGACAACTTAGTCGCTTCCTATAAAATTATACAGGTTATATACATTTCACTAGGTCTGAGAGCTAAGATAATACCTTACAATAATCCTGGGCATCTCCCAGCTCCCCCTGCTTTCGCAATGAGACCGCCATGCGCAGTAGCGCTGCCCTATGGTGGCATGAGTTCAGATCTCCAAGTTGTAGAGATCGCGATAGATCGTAGGCCTTGGATGCATACGTTGCGCTCTTATCGTTATCCTGCAGACGTCCAAACAATTCCGATAGGGCTACATACACCTGCAGTTCTAGAGAGGGATCACCAATAGCCATAGCTATCTTATAGGCACCCTGCAATCCCTCCAGCGCTCTAGAGAATCCGCCCATTTCCAGGTAAACCCGAGCTACCGTCAAATGGACTAAGCCACTGCGGCACTTCGTCCCGCATTCATTATAGAGCGAGTGACGGGCATAACTCAGGGATCGTTCCAGTCCACCCAGGCTGGCATGGGCTCTGCTCAAGTTCAGATACGTTTCAGCTCTCATATTTGGTGAGTCGAGCTCCTCGGAGATACTAAACCGAAATGCGAAGATTAATACGATTAATAAAAATATTAATAAAGTCCTTGCTTTTTTTGAAACTTAAATATTTAGTTATATTCCAATTTCAAATCGGACCACTGCACTATAGGCACAAATACCAATATTGAGGCATAGTCCATTTTTTTATTTTTACACCCTTGCAGGGTATTATAATTTCAGTCAGAAGTTTGCAACGCAGTGAAGGAGGCACTTTCGACCATATAAAGTATATATATTCTTGATCAGGATCAATAGCCGAGTCGATCTAGCCATGTCCGTCTGTCCGTCTGTCCTTCTGTCCGTCTGTCCGTTTCTACGCTACCTAGTCTCTCAATTTTGAAGCTATCTGAATGAAACTTTGTAGTTTGCCTTCTATATACTCTCACTCGTATATATGTCGGAACGGGCCGGATCGGACGACTATATCATATAGCTGCCATAGAAATGATCGGAAAATTTTTACAAAAAAAAATTATAACATTTTCAGTTTTTAACAGAATTTGATCAAATTTTAGATATAGTCGTTTCATATTATTCTACAATTTTTTGTTAAATTTTATGAAAATCGGACTACTATTTCATATAGCTCCCATAGGAACGATCGAGAAATTAATACAATTAAAAAATATAACATTTTCAGTTTTCAACAGATTTTAATCAAATTTGAGGTATAGCCATTTTATATAAGTCTTAAATTTTGTTTCAAATTTTATGAAAATCGGACGACTATATCATATAGGTGCCATACAAACGATCGTTAGATGTGGAGCAAAAATGCAAATTTGTGACTGTAATATGTATAGGTGAATGAAATGAAAGCAGGTATTACTTCACTGTTTTATAACACAAATATATAATTTATATTGCATGGATTCCTAGTCATAGAAGTTCTATCTGCAAGGGTATATAAACTTCGGCGGCCTGAAGTTAGCTTCCTTTCTTGTTTTAATTAAAACTACAATTTATTTATAAATATTCATAAAACAGATAGTATGAAACCGTTAAACATTTTTTGTGATCTATGGTATCAAAATACTTTGTTCACAAAATAATAATCCATGGGTAGCATATAATAAACTCTTTTTTAGGTCCCGTAGGATGTTAGGAAGATACTTTAGAAACGCGAAATAAATTTTATAAATAGGAAGGATAGGAAGGTATATAGAATAGTAATTCTATCCTCTTTGGCTATGAACACTTACGCTCCATTTATATCGACCATATGTTATATATATAAGCATAATGAAAGCAGGTATTACTTAATTGTTTTTTAACATAAATATATATAATTTTTATTGTATGGATTCCTAGTCATCGAAGTTCTATCTGCAAGGGTATATAAACTTCGTCGTGCCGAAGTTAGCTTCCTTTCTTGTTTCTTATGGGTTATCTTTAGGTAAACAGTTGTCAAAAAGTTTGCTCGGTATTAACCTTGGAACTCGATGAAAATTATTCTCGTGATACTCACCCAAGTTGTTGATGACTAAACTCAATAGCTTCTCGGAATTTACCCCAGTCCATGTGGGCCTGATACAAATATCCCAAGAGCTGAAAGCAATCTTCTCGCTGACAGGTGCCCTTCAGAGCACTGCGCCACGTCCGGACTGCCTCGGTTTGGTTATTTTGCTCATAAAGCCGGCGGCCACGCTCGATCTGGGAAATATAGGTAATAGAATCATTGCTCGAAGCCAATTATTTTATTTTCAACATTTTGGAGACCTCGAATAATTTGTAGTCGTTGTCTAGACATACCATACCCACTATTCTTATGATTATCATATACCTTTCTTTTCGCTATATATTGCCTCAAACTCTGTTGGCACGACAGAAAACAACCGATTACCGAATTGGTGTGCAACAGTCCCTGGCCTGATGTCCAACAGGAGCGGGATCCGGCGTCGGGACTTGAGCCATAGCCTGCCACTCGCGAAAAGCTCTCATCCAATTGACTTAGTTCTGTTCCAGGAGAATTAAAAACCGTTAAGATATAGATGAAAATATTGAACTAGTTGTTACCATTCGAGTTATCTAAGAGATAACGCGATCCATCTGGCGATGTGAGTAAATGCGTGGCTGAATGGTTCTGGCTAGGTGGGATGCTGGAGAACGGAAATTGTGAAAAGTTTATGCATCTAGGAGTTTCGAGGTGTCTTATTACCAAAGTAGATCCTTTGAGGCAATGCTCTCCCATGACATGTCAATTTCTTTTGTTATTTAAGCTGTGTTGGAATAGCACTGAAAAATAATTAAATTAATTATGCGAAAATAATAATCCGCACCCGCAGTGTTGTGCGAAAGGAGCCACAGAATTGCAAATCTATAGTATATTTACTATATACTGTATAGTATAGTATAGTATATAGTATACTATACTCTAGCTATAATATATAATATATAATATATAATATATAATATATAATATATAATATATAATATATAATATATAATATATAATATATAATATATAATATATAATATATAATATATAATATATAATATATAATATATAATATATAATATATAATATATAATATATAATATATAATATATAATATATAATATATAATATATAATATATAATATATAATATATAATATATAATATATAATATATAATATATAATATATAATATATAATATATAATATATAATATATAATATATAATATATAATATATAATATATAATATATAATATATAATATATAATATATAATATATAATATATAATATATAATATATAATATATAATATATAATATATAATATATAATATATAATATATAATATATAATATATAATATATAATATATAATATATAATATATACTATTTACTATTTACTTAAATGTCAATATAGTTTAACAAATTATAATTTTTTCAGAAATTTCAAATCTGAAATGTATAAAGTATTTTTAAAATTGTATTTAAAACGAATTAATATTTGTCTACTGTTTTTTATCTCCTGTGTGTTTTATTTTTTCATTTGATTATGTTTCAATTGTAAACTGCAAGGGTTAGCCTCCTTTCTTGTTTTTGTAAAGTTTACTATTAATAATAATAGTCACATTTTTGTTGTTGAAGGTACTTTCGTCACACTTATCTAAACTTGTTAAAATTGTAGTGGATTTAATTTTTGATTACAAAATAGAGAATACTTTTTATGCGATTGTTACTATTACGTTCATTTTAGCTTAGAAACAGATGTTTGGATTTTAATATTGGGACGTCACTCAGTAGTAAACCTTGACCCAGCTGAACCTCTTTTTGATTATTACAATTAAGAGTGACCTTGTTTCGCTCCTCATCCTTCTTACTATACAGCTAAGCATCTCGAGAACCCAGTATCATACAAAAGGTGTAAATATTTGCATACATACAGTATCAGTGCATCTAAAATTGTTGATAAATGCCTCACAGTAAATGAATTTTCACTCGAAACATTTGCTTAATTAAATGCTATGGCTTAAGCTCGTGCTGTGTTATCAACGAATCTGCGGTAAAGTCAAAGAGGATGCGATGGTGGATGTTTTTGTCTCCCATGAAGAAGCAAGGATTCTGCGCGGAGCTGGGCATGTCTGATATCCGATAGTTCTATCGGCCTGTCGTTGTATCTCTACATACTGCACGGTACGTTTGGGTCAAATTTCGAAATAATAATATATGTTATCATTATTTACACACACTTTATTTTAGTACTCATAAGAAAATCATAATTATGATTGAAAATAAAATTAATTAAATAGTGGTTGTTTTTTATTATTATTTTATTTATAGATAACAGTGTTTCCTATTTTTCGTTTGCTCGGGCACTAGGGTTAACTAAATAATGCGATCAGTGGTTAAGTAAGTAAGTGAGTAAAACAAAATAAATGGTATGACAGGGGTGGTCAATAGTATTTACACAAATTCACAATTAATTGCACATCCCAACCTCACTAGTTAATATTTTTGTTTTCGACTATGTCCATGAAATTTTCTTTATCGCATAGTTTAAAGAAAGCCGTGAAGGAATACGAAAAATAAGATAAGAACGCTTTTCCAGCCGGAAACAAATGTTGATTTAATTAATGCCATAATGACAAGGTCAATTACATGAGATTTAGCCATATTTCAATATTTTTTCTTTTCCAGTTTTCAACATTTTATCATCTATTTGAGATATAGCCATTTTATATTAATTTAGAATTTCGGTTTTAATTTTATGTTCGGTCATATAGCTGCTATAGGATTGATCGGTAAATAAGAAGGACGTTGCAGCACTACGGTCAGTACACTCAAGTGGTCCGTGTGAAACCAAGCACATGCCTGTTAGTAGGCGCGATACAAAACATAAAGAATACGAGGAAATTACCTACCGACGCGCTGCGCTACGCGTAGAAATTCAGCTGACCCAACAAGTCAGCACGGTCTACATCACCATGGATGAGGTTATAAATAAAGGTAATTCCTAGCATATTTCTACGATTGGCTAAGGATCCAAGCGGACGCCCAAATCATCAACTAAATTAGTTCTTTCCAAAGAACAACAGTTCAGAGTGAAACTTTTAAGCTTGGAAACGACACGAGAGAATGTTATTAACTTGAAATTAGAGCTTTATAAGTTTAATAAGTTTACACCACTCCATGTGTGGAAATTACTAAGATCTGTTTGTAAATTGGTATAAGTACTCTGGAGTTAATCAAAACTCTGGGCAGGTTGTTTATAAATAAAAAACAAAGTATTCTTAAAGATGACCTTTTGCGTCATGCCATTCAGCTAACTTCATATCCAATTAAGATGATCAATCATTAAATCAGTATAGGAAGAGGTCTTAAAAAGGTTAGTTGTTCTTGATCTCCGCATAATAAATCCATGTTGACATGACATGAAATAACTGATCTACAAAGGTTCTGCAAATGAGGAGTAACTACGTTTCCGAAAAGTTATGGGATGGCTGGCAACTTAGCGATTTCTCAATAATTGTTGGCATCCGATTTCCTACTTTTTTGTGAAGAGGAATAATAAATACCTTCCAAATAAGGGGCAAGTGGAAGGTTTCTAATGATAAGGTTGTGACAATCTGGCAGTGTTCGGGTGGCTCAGGGATAGCTAGGATTCGTCTCAGACATTTGTGCTTTTCAGGGGTATGTGCTGAAAGGTATTGCGACCCAGAATATACAGCTTTGGATTTTTGATTACAACTATATTTCCGTTCATACAACTTCTTAATAACTTCATGCCACCCTTAGTATAGCTGCTTCGGAACGCCTTGTTTCGGGGTCGAGTGCTACCGTTTCGTGTGGGCCGTCTGTCCGCTGGTAGGATACCCTTGCTTGGGTACCTGGAAGTCAGCCACAAGAGAGAGAACTCTCTTGGAAACACTGAAGTCAGTCACAAGAGAGTTTTTTAATTTTTCCACCTGTTTCTATTTTTTCGGCTCTGGTTTTTTCTTGGATAAAGGCGATACCATCTTCCGATATTTCAGCAGGGTAGGGCCGCGACTGCTGTTATAAAAGCTTTTGGCAAGGCAGATGGGTTATCTGCCGTTTCATTATTGGCCGGTAACTCGGGCCATACGCCCTGGACGGGTAAATTAACGGGGCTCTGAGGCGTTATTTGGGACCCCTCAGGCGTAACAAGTACGCCCGTGCTGCATTTGGACACCGAATCTTTTTAGCGCCCGATCTTGAACTGAATGTTTAAGTTTTCCAATTTTCGTTGTGCTGGACCTCAGACTTCGAAATGACACGGAAAAAATTAATTCTACAGCAGTGTGAACGAAATTGAATGTTTGGACCACTGCTTAAGACCGGCAATAAGGAAGAGACGGATGAAAGCTCGTACTTATCTTTAGCGAACAAAATCACCGGGAAGGGAAGGGAAGGGCGAAAGTATATTCGTACCCTGCTCGAAGGACAAATACTTGTAGGAGTGCGATCCATCCTAACATGGAACGAGTTACGACTCGTTTCTGACACAGCGCCATCGTACGCTTTTCCGCAAAGGTCGGCAAATGCGAGCGCCCCAGAGCGTCGATCAAAGAAATTTCTTCGTTCTGCACTCGAGTTATAACTTCACCCGATTCCGTCAATTGCTACAGGCAGGCAGTTACTCCTACCAGTTCCGAGTCTGCAACGGATTCAACCAGCTTCAGACAACAGTTTCGTAGGCTTAGCTTATCGGTCGGGACCACGGCCCTTAAGTTGGTCTCATGTATGCAGCGAAATAAAGCTGATACTCTTCAATTACCTCACGACCCTCCCGACTTTTTCTTTTCTAACCCCGACTGCTTATTTTCTGATTCCCGACGTAGGATTCTTGTTTTAAGCCGCCAGCTGCAGTATCGGACTCAGCAGACTAACAATACGAATCAACACACCTTACTTTCATGTGCAATAATGCATGGTTGCATGTCAATCGCCTCTTATTCTTCTGGCATCACTAGTCTGACCGTCTGTAAGGTCCATGGAGTAGATAGTGATACCTTATCTGGCATCCGTACACGTAGCGTTTTTCATTGTGCTGCTAGCGCTTTTGCATAGTTTCCATTCCCTTTTGTGCCTTTTCCGTTAAGCCGTTGTTTGCGCCGTCGCGACACCTAAAAGGACTTAGCTTGCTAACTCCCACACTCTTCTGCTCTCTCTGTGCTGCTGCACCTCCGAAGTTTTTCCAGCTGTGTTCACAGTATATCGACATTCGAGGAATGCAACGATGTTGAGTTCCTCTGTGTATAGCTATCTGTCAATGGCAGCTTCATTTTTGTTACCTGTTCCTACTTACCTCCATTGTCGGAACTTTTTATTTCTGGGACCACCTTTCCGCTATTTAGATGGTTTCCAGTAGACTTTTGTATAGATAGGTGATTTTAATATCCCTGGGGCTAATTGGTCCTAAAAATAGCAAAACAGCAAAAAAGTTCTCTGTTTTCGCAACACGGACTTTGGTCGGCTGAATAATTTTATATATGAATTTAATTGGGCCGATCTATACATGTGCACTGACATGGAAGTTTCCGCGGATATTTTTTACAATGCCATGAAATCATTTTTTACCGAATGTGTTCCTTTTACTATCTGCCAATCTTAAATAAGCCTCCGTAGTTTACTGAAGAGTTCCGCCGACTTAAAAATTAAAAATTTGGGCTACTCGTTGCAGGGTCCAGTTCTCATAAGACCCAAGCGTTTTAAGATTTTGTTAACACAAAACATTTTCCTAAAACAAATCCTTCCTCGCTCCGTCAAGGCCCGGGCTTCTTATTATCAAAGGAGTCTATAGCCCTTTGAATCTTATCAATAGTGATTATCCCTTCTCTTGACATATGTGTATGTCTGGCCCTTGACCTCTCGGGATCCGAGTTTCCTCGCACATTCCATA